TCACCGCGTGGGAAGCCGTCCCCGACTCGGAGCTCCACGTCACGACGCCGTCCCTTCGGTCGCATCCAGCCGGCGTCCTCCGCTGCTCGGTTTGCCGGGGAGCGTGCGGAGCCGGGCGAGGAGCAGCGCCGAGTCCCAGCACCTTCCCAGCTGCTTCCAGCGAGCTGGAAAAGCCAAGTTCTTGGCCCCGACCCGCGCCCAGCCTCCAGCACGGGGAACCGGACAGTCTTCACGGAGGGAATAAATTAAAACCGCCAACTTTTATTTTGATTTTTGCTTTTTCAATTCTAGTTTCGCTCAGCCTTTTGCTCGGCTGCCGGCCGGCTGGGGGGGGCCGGCTCGCGGTGCGAGAGGACGTAAGAATCCGTGTTAGCTGCTGTCAGTTTGGGAACTGCACGTTCTACTCGTACACATAAAGCAGACGACCACATCACCCTCCATCGAAAACTAGTGCATGCAAGTAACTCTTCCATATCAGGGAACCCAAGGGCTACGCGGGAGAGAGGAGATACTAGCGAACGGACACGGCCTAGAGGGACATTAGTAGGTATCGGCGACATTTTTACCTCGAAAGCTTAAATCAGTGCTTCGTATTAAAGGTTTTTTTGGCAAACAGACCACGTTGCCGTCCTTTGAATTAACACATCACACCAGGAAGAAACGCAAATAAAAAGCAGCATGCAGGCAAAAGGAAAGAGCTGCGAGTGAGGAAGGGGGGGGATGGCAGCAGGAACAGCTCTGAATGGCTACATCACCAAAAAGGAGACACAGCAGATTAAATGTCGTATTTTTTTTTTGTTTTTTTTGTTTTTTTTTCTTTTTTTGCACCACCCTTTGTCCTCGATGCACTACACCAACGGTTACAGAAAGCAATCACGAAAGAGTTCGGTATTTGGAAATGGTCACGTACGGATGGGATGTCTCCTGCACATGCTTCCACCAGCAGGAAAGAAAAAGAAACCAAGGGCAAACAAAAGTTCCTTTCCACATAAGGCACAGGACAAAATCAAACCCCGTTCACAGACTGAAGGCGGAAATGAGTGTTCTCCTGGCTCTTTTGCCGATGCTTCTAGAGAATGCGGTGACTCAAGCACATTATCCATGACAGAAAATTCCACTGTTGTACAAAATAAATTGTTAATTCTAACTTTTATTCTTATACAATTTGCAGAGTAGAGTTGAATGGGATTGCTATGGGTTTTAATGTCAGGAGGAACAGGACTATAATACAACCAAGACGTAGTGGTAAGTTGAGCAGGTACATGAAAAAAAAATGAAGTCACGGAGATGATTTTCCTATACGTGTCGTCGAGAAAAATTAGAGTACGCAAGCTGTCCTAAACGGAAGAACAACGGGAGACTTGTTAAGGTGAGGAACAAAACATCGGTTTCGGGTTAAAAACGGACAGAGCGGTTTGTTTCGCAGCGAGAAAAAAGGGGCGGTGGCTGGCGATTGGTGACAGAGGAGAAGGTTCAGCAACACTTGCTCTTCCAGCCCGCCCCCCCCATGCCACTGCTGATATCTACATTTTCACTGTTGGGCTCTTTTACAGGGGTCTGCAATGAAACAAGGGAAAAACAGAGTTAGGCGACTCCCGGGACGCTGCAGTAAAGCACTCCGAGCTGCAGAGACGGCGGCTCACAGAACGGCTCACGTCACCAGACCGTGCCACGGCTACGCCACGGACACAGAGCTGCCCAGAAACGCAGGGCACCCTCCTCCCCTCGCCAGCAGCAGCACGCAAAGCCCATTTACTGTGGTTTTTTGGTTAGTTTTCTTTTAAATAAGCAACAACTGGAAAGCTGGAAAAAACTCCTCGGGCCACCCCAAAGCAAACTCAGCCTATTTTCCGTCTGAACATGAGGAAGAACTTCTTCCCTCTGAGGGTGACGGAGCCCTGG